ATTTAGATTATTTTGACATGTATGTGAGTCGTTGGAGCTGTTTCTCAGTGTAACTGCATTTTGTAAAACCACACAACAATTCATTATTTTAAAAATGTTACTGTCTTTCATTCTACATTCTTAAAACCCAAGTAAACTAACAGACACAACTAGGTTGAGTTCATTTTTTATTCCGATGTGAGAAAATATAGATTTTTTTACATAAGTGTCATGTTAAAACTGATCATCAGAAAGTGATTATTAAAAGTTGCCATTTTAAATACATTTAAACTGGTGATAGGTAAAACAGGTAGAACAATGCAGTCATCAACAGTCATAAATTACAAACAACAATTCTATAATAAACCTGCAAACCATCCGAGTCTAACATCCAAACCAGGACAATTAGACAAACACGTAAATTCATCAGATACAACTGTTTTCTTTGGCTACGGATGTGATTATTCAGTCACAAAAGATCTCAGACATCAACATGACCAGGGAAACAAAGATTAAGTGTTCGTGTGCAAGTTGTGATTGTTTGATGAAGCAACACAAACTGAGCAGTGCAGCTTGAACAGGCTGGGAAACAACTTTTAACACAATAAAACCTCACTCATGCATAAAGTGGTTTATTAAAAAATACAAAAAACACACATTACTGAGCTGTTTCCGTTCAAACTAACCTGTTAGCCTGTTAGCTACGCTAGCATAAACACACAGGCTACTTTAGCTAGCACAAGCGAGACGTTTTCTTCTCCCCCACTTCTCAGAGAGGAAATGTTTCCCGGAGACACGGCACTCACCTTCCGGATGAACCAGCAGCTCTGCTCCGTAGAAAACATGTCTCTGGGACTGATAAATGAGCCGAGCGGCGGATTTGACTGAGTCCGGTTCTCCTGCTGTCAAACTGCGGCTCCGCTCCGTTTCTCATATCGCGCCACATGCACTCAAAAGACCTGCGAAGGACCCACGTTCATAGCTGCCCTTCTTACCGCCTGTTGCCAGCTTCACACTTCTTTATATACAGTCTATGCTTCACACACATACATGAATTTACTGAAAATCTGCTCAACAACAACGATGATAGTAATAATAGTAATGATAATATAGTAGATTCAAACTGTTTGGCCCATGCAAGCAATAGCTGAAGTGAATTTAAAAACAACTCATACAACAATGTCACAAGATCGATTTTAACATGATGAACCAGGAGCCGTCAAACATGTTTTCATTGTCTTTGTTGTCCTGTCCGATAGTTCTTTATTAATCTATTTGCTTAAATTTCTAAAAAGCAGAGTGTTAGTGTTCTGTGTGAGGCGGATCAGTTCTGAATCCCTTTCTTTTCATCGTACACGAAAGCTTTCTTGTCGTGATGATAGCCGTTCCCATAAGTCGGAAAAGGGTGCTTATCCAAAAGAGTCATTTTGTCGTTGTCCCGAGAGAACGGCTTGGTCTCGAAAGCGTTGACCGGGAGCTTCTGGGATGAGCTGACGGACATGTCGGTTTGCATTGCTTTGTGGATCAATGGTTTCTGCCCGGGCTTGTGCGTGATCGCAGGCAGGGCCAGCTGCTCCCTCTGCACCTTCTTGTCTTCCCACAACTTCAGCAGGCGCCGCTGATTGTTCGTCATGTCCTTGAGGTTCTGCTGCAGTGACTGGACTTGGTCTTCCAGCAGAGTTTTGGAGGTGACCGTATTTGCCAGCTCTGATGTCAAATCGTCGATGGTCAGGCTCAGCTTCCCGGCCTTCTCCACCAGGGAACTGCACTCGTGCTCCTTCTCGTGCAAGTCATTGATTATGTCCTTCGTGGTCTTGCCATTGAACTTGGGGCTGCACTCAAGTCCAATTTCAGTTCGAAGAGCCTTGACTTGTTTCCTCAGCTCCTTGTTGTCCATGGTCAAGGTTTTCAGTTTCTGTTTCACAGCCTCAGTAGAACGCATCCTTGACTCGTACTGTCGCAGCTTCTCTCTGAGAACGCTCTCCCTGTGCATGGCGTCGTCTCTTTCCTTGCTGCATTTCTCCAAAAGCTTTAAAGTCTCAAATTTGGACACTTTTTCACCTTTCCCATTTGAGGAGGCCATCCTACAGAAAAGTTTCCAAATCACAATGTAAAAAAAAAAAAAAAATTAAAATGGCATCTTTATTCTTAAAAGCAGTTCAAATAGTCCTGGAGAATTGGACGAATAAATCCACAAGCACGAGCCGCTGCCTGCATCTCTGGGACTGACGCAGGTGCCATTCCTCTTAGAGGGTTATCTGTTTGACAGTCCGCTCCAGTGTAACTCAAAGCTGGGGCTAGAATGACCATTAATTAGGGCGCCACCATCCTTTGACACCGTTTCAAGTGACACAATTTTGTTTTGTGTTTTTTTTTTAAATTAAACTAAAAAACGTGCCCTTGTTAATCAATGGAAATATTATCCGTTTTAAACATAGCTCTATTGCCTGTAAGGAGCTGACCACACAGAGTTTACCTGTAGAAACAGGCTTTGCATGCATAAGTAACATTTTCCACTGCCGGTGATCTGCGACACATTAGATTCAATCAATTCACTCGACCACGCGACAGTTAAGATGGATGAGTTGCAAGGAAAAAACAGCAGCAGCAGCCAAATGTCTACTTTTTAAGTGAGACGTTCTCTTTGACATTTTAAAGTTAAAGCTATTAGTTACAATCTCTCCCTTAAATATTTAAAATGTCCAACTGTTGAAATGTACTGGCAGCCTTTAATGCTGCAGGAGCTGGGCAGAAAAGAGTCATGTTGCCGACACGGGGAGGGAAGGGTGAGGTGATTTAAAACGTGACTTCAGGTTCACTGGAAAAAAATAGCAAATAAAGTTTTCTCTGATATTTTAAGCATTAATATGATGCAAATATCCACAGTCCCTACACATTCTTACAAGGATGTAAACTCATCGTATTACAGAAGGTAAATTCATTACTAGGGAACTAAATGACAAAACACTAAAGTGATAGTCAACATCATTTACTGTTTGCGAAATTATTTGAAATTCTGTTAGTTTCCGGGTTCTTTCAAGTTAAAACAGTAAAACAGCTTCCAAATGCCAGCAAGCACAAGGATAATTTGTAAAATGTACATATTAATATACTACATCTTATTCCCTGTTTTCAGTCCTTATGCTGAACTAGTTATTGGTGAGGAAGACAATAAAATTCTTATTTACAATGACATGAAAGTGGCATCAATATTCCTAAAAAGCATATAACAAGAAAGTAATAATTATATTTCCTGAACTGTAAATAATCAGTTAATATAGATTAATATAGATTAATTAATGATGGAAACTTGCCTCCAAGTTAACTGGGAATTATCGTCATAACACTGACAAATTCATCCAGAACCGTGTCCCAAAAAGATCATGTTTTATTTGATTACCATCGGAATACACATTCAATCACATACATTTCATCACAAACTGTCTGTCACACTTAAAACAAACAAACAAGTTAATTACAAAAATAGTTACACATGTAAATTACTTGGATATTTAGGATTGGTCTTTGGCATTAGTTTAGGGCACTTATGTTTATGTCAGTTAGAGAATAATACAATAACTTGGTACATAATAAGTCCAACCCTTGGAAGTTATAACCAACACCTATAATAGTTGTTCATAGAGAAAGTACACATACACACTAACTTAATCTCATTGTAGAAAAGTGCAGTAACAGTACTGCAAATGCCTAAATATTTCAACTACATACTAAAAGAGATCCCGTGTTGTGTAACATTATAGCCCATTTATCTTTCAAGACAATTAGAACCCATCCCATGAGAAATAACATACTTGTAGCAGTGTTCATTTTCAGAGGCCACGCAGTTCAACCGAGTATACACACAGGGTTTTAAGGTCTTGAGCCAGAACGTTCCAGTGCAGGTGAAATCCAGACGACCCATGACTTCATCACCTCAGCAACCCGATTCTCACTAATAAGGCAACACGAGAACCTGCAATTAAAAAAAAAAAAAAAGAATAACACATGCTATGGGAAGGAGAAATCATGTACAGGAAGTCCGGTGTCAGATGTTTAAAACAAGCAGCTCAAAATAACACGAGCCAAAGTTTCTAAATTAGGCCAACAACGACGAGCTGCTGATGTAGGTGGTAAATATTCCTGACACATTAAAGTTGCCATGAGAGAGCACAAGGTTGAGAGTTATTATTCAATTCAATTTTATTATATATTATTAAAGCACCAAATCATAATGAACATTTTACATAAAAGGTCAAGACCTTAAAATTTATAGGGAAACCCAACAGTTCCCACAAAAAACTCCCTCATTAAAAGGAAGAAACCTCAGAACCAGACTCAATGTGAGCGGCCATCTGCCTCGACCGGTTGGGGTGAGCGGAGAAAAATGGGGAGGAGAGGACAGATGGGTGAAAAAGAGGGGAAGGGAGAGAGATAGAAAGGAGAGGGGGAGAGAAAGACAGTTTTCAGCATTGACGCACTGAATTCTGACCTACATGTATTGTGTTCTGTGTTTGGTACAACAGACTCATGGCTTTAAAAGATTCAATGTCAGTATTATTTACCTTGACAAGATCGAAGGCATTCATGTCAAAGACGATGTCTTGACAACCTCTGTTACATCAGGAATGTCAACAAGTAGCGCTGGTTCTGGTCGGCTGAAGAAATAAGCCTGAAAAAAAACAAAAAAATAAAGGAGAATTAAGAGAAACATCTCATCAATCAAAAGCTCAAGCTGGAGTGTCTGAGAATAACTGTGCAGCAAATGTTCAGTGTTTGACCAGAAGAACGCTGCATTTCTGTTTTTCATTCATCCTGGTAAGACACAGCTTACTCTGGAGACTAATTACATGAACGTGACCAGACATATGACACCGCTGCTGCCCTGACCTTAAGAAGTGCACTCAAACCCCGCTGTCAGACCCGTTAGCAAATGCAGTCACAGTTTCCGATGAATAGAGTCAGCCTCGTGTGAGTTTACTTGACACTCTCAGGTCATTTCCCAGAAGCACACAGGGAGAGACGCACCAAATTGCTAGTCTGTGAGTGACATAGACGAGCTGGATCAAAGCTTGGCCACGCTACTGAGATCACTAAGGACAAAAGGGAGTCGGTCAATCATTGTTATCTACACCGGGAGGAGCAGACACAGGCAGTCCATGTGCACTCAGTGAATTAGTGCAGATGTGGTTTGCTCAACCAAGGTAATATATCTTATTTCCCCAAACAGATACATGTTCCATATCTCTCCAATTTGTAATTAATCCACATGGAAAAGTTCTGTAGAATATGAGCTGTGGCAAATTCACCTTACAACCAACGGCAAGCAGGACGTTGAACAATACAACGGTGGACATGATGGCTACGATAACTTTGGGGTGGTCCTCCCTGACGGCAGGCCAGAGCGTCATCACCAGCACTGAGCCAGAGAGGCAGAGAGCCACCACAATGGTGCACCACCTCAGCCATTCAAACGGGAGAATCCATAAAACCTGATTGAGGAAACAAAAGTGAATTATATACCGTGTACGTGCCACATTTAAAAACAAATACTTCAAGCTCGTCTTCTTTAACTGTAAAGATATTTAATGTGGAGCAGCAACATTTACATATACATATACATATATAATATTTTGTATTCTATTATTCAATAAAAGTTCATATGGTAAATTGAAACATTCCCATATTGTCCAGTGCCAAGGGACATCTAATGGCAGAGAGTGAATATAATATTCAGAATTATATTTTCATTAGTGTATAAATCACCTGAAACTAACAATTGTTATTTTAATGGAATCTAGACAAGAAACAGGTCTTCTTCCATTGAGTCCACCAAGTTGCTCAGGTTTGCTCACAGATCAGAGGAGCTTTCAAAATGTCAAATATTCAACTTTTATGAAGCTAAAGGTTCCAAAAACACAATGAGATCATTTTAGCCCATCCTGACACAAATGGAGAATATGAGAAATGATTCTGAATGTTATCAGTGTTTCCTCCTGTTACTTTGAGATGAAAAAATGTCTTACCACTGCAGGTATGTAAATTGAAAGTGAATATCCGTACACACAGATGATCTCCATGAAAGAGTATGACACCAAGTTCATGACCTTGTTGTTTCTCCATAGCAGGAAACCCCAGAGGGCAAGAGGCACCAACCAGGCATAGGTGAAGATCGCTGTTGCAGCAATGGTCACTGGAAAACACACAATATTTAAAAGTGTAAGAATTTAGAATAGAACCTCTTACTTTCAAGCTCAGCAAGTGAGCCTTGAATACCTTTTCGAAACTCCGGGGTGTATTTGTAGTTTGGTTTGCCTAAGTGCATCAGAAAGTTGGATATATTTCCACTGATGGCAATGGCAAACACGAGGGTAGTGCAAATCCAGAACGGTCCTGAAAGCACAAATATAAATCATTAGATCTTCAGTTTGCACGATCATTTGGACAACCTCTAATCACAGCATGAAGAGTGCTGACCATAAAGATCAGGATTTCTCTGAAGGTGGACCTCAACAAAATTCTTTCCAGGCCATGGCAGCACTGACCCGATGATTCTTTCCTTCACCTGAAAGAAAAGTTATTAACTAAGTGGATTGATGAACTGCATTTGTTCTGATGCACACAGTAATGTTATCATAGTGGTTAAAAGTCTTTAGAATAAGTTGTGATTTCATTACATGATGGGTCTCGATGTCAAAGAATCTCTGGTAGTACTCAAACGTCCAGAAAGGGGCACTTTTCTGCTGCCCAGAGAGAAGCTTCCAAAGAAAAACAGAAAAAATGAGACAAAAAGTTTGCATTTTATGCAACAAGACTTCATTATTTAAAGCTCCGCAAATCTTCTGTAAGTCTTATGCAGACCTCTGTCTGGTCATCATAGGAAAGAGTGTCCTCATCATCAGCACCACTGGGATTTAAACCAGCAGCTCTTCTCTGCTTCTTAGGTTTGACGTCATCTTCTTCGATGCTAATGGTGGTCGCATCTCTGTTGGCTTCTAACAGAGTACCAGCTTCTTCAAATTCTAGATTCATGACATGGAAAAAAAAGGAAATTATTAATCGTGTATGTTGATGGTTTCACTGTTG